TTACTTGTCAAATTCAATACAAGAAAACGTGATTGATCAGTGCACGACCAATTGTCGGCTCAAATTAGCAAATGGATCAACAGTGCCAATAGTAATTGGAGCTTGTGACAAATATCAAGAGATATTAACAAATCATAATATGCCAATATGTGAAGGTTATGTTGGGGACAAGAAAGTGAAGGTTCTACGAGACACTGTGTGCAGTAGTGCAGCAGTGAGAACCAGTTTAGTATCCAATGATCAGATGACAGGCAAGGTATGCTTGTGTGTGCTAACTAATGGGACAGTGAGAAATTTTTCCATAGCAAAAATAAAGGTGGATATTCCATATTATCTAGGAGACCTTGAGGTCATATGTATCAAGGAACCAATACACAACTTGGTGATAGGAACATACCGAACTAGACAGAAAGAAGATTGATGAAGTATCTGCTGTCACCACCAGAGTTCAAGAAAAGAAAAGCAAACGAGACATCAAGCCCCTGCAAGTGTCAAAAGGCGATATCCCGAACTTAGGTTTGCAGGAACTGAAGGAAGCACAGAAGAAAGACCCTTCACTGCAGAAACTTTGGAACAATGCCCAGAAGAAAGTCGAGCACAAAACAAAGGGGAAAGATACTTATAGAATAGAGGACCAGAAGGGAGTTCTATACCGAATCTATCAAGGCAGTTATATTGGATAAGTTAAACAGATCATAGTACCCACAGTATACTGGACTCAAGTGATTAAGTTGGCTCATGAAACAATTGTGGGAGGACACCTAGGAACAAAGAAAATGGCAGACAGAATCACCAGTAATTTCCATTGGGCGGTTGTAATTGAAGATGCGAGTAGATTCTTCAGGTCGTGTGACATCTGCCAAAGGACAATACCTGGAGGGAAGGTAGCCAAAGTGCCATTGGGGGAGATGCCTCTCATAGAAAAGCTGTTCAGCAGAGTAGCTGTGGACTTGATCGGGCCACTAGCACCTATGTCTGACACGGCAACTGGTATGTTCTAACAGTAGTCGACTATGCGACACATTATCCAGAAGCAATGGCATTGACAAAGATAGAGATGGCGAGAGTAACAGAAGCCCTCCTGGAGATATTTTGCAGAATAGACTTTCTGAGAGAAATCCTGAGTGATGGAGGTACCCAGTTTACTTCAGAACTGATGCAGGAAGTGTGCTGACTCGTCAGTACTCGGCAACTCTTTACCACTCCGTACAATCCTAAATGTAATGGACGTTGCGATAGAGTCAATGGAGTTTTAAAGAGTATGCTAAAGAAGATGTGCCAAGAGAGACCACTTGACTGGGACAGGTACTTACAGGCAGTATTATTCCCACAAGCAAGTACAGGATGTTCACCCTTTGATTTACTGTATGGAAGCACAGTATGAGGTCCGATGCAAATATTGAAAGAGCTATGGATGGGAGAAAAAGAGTCAGAAGTAAGGAACACATACCAGTATGTGTTAGACCTCAGAAACCGACCGGTGGAAACCTGTCAACTCGCCCAACAAGAGTTTGTATGCAGCCCAAGGTAGTCAGAAGCGTTTTTATGACAAGAAGCCCAAGGATCAACATTTTAAAGTTGGACAAAAGGTCTTAATTCTGCTGCCCACAGACCACAACAAACACACCCTGCAATGGAAAGGATATTTTGAAGTACAGGAAGTACTCAACAGAATGGACTACAAGGTGAATGTAAACGGGAAGCCCAAGATCTACCATGCCAATCTGTTGAAGTATTTTGAGAGAGAAGACCTGACAGGTGCAGCTATTGAAACAGAGATGGGTGTTGCAGATGTGGCCATCATAGATGCAGAACCAGAAGACAGTGACTTTGTTTTAGAAGATGAGGACCTACTAGACCTAAGACCACTAGGAGATGAAACATACAAAGATGCCAACATCAGTGAAGAACTGACTGGCAAGGAAAATAGAGAGTTACAAGACCTACTGTACCAGTACGAAGATATCTTCATGGATAAACCAGGAAAGACATATTGTGCAACACAATATAGAAACCACAACCAGGGATCCAGTCAAAGTGAAGCCCTATCAGATACCTTATGCAATGAGAGATCTGACAAAGCAGGAAGTTGAGGCAATGTTGGAAGCTGGAAGCTGGAATCATCGAGACTTCAAATTCAGCCTACTGTTCACCAGTTGTAATCATGAAGAAGAGGGATGGATCAAACCGTTTCTGCATAGAATTCCGGAAGGTGAACCTCATGACAAAGTTCGACTCTGAACCTATGGGCAACCAAGAGGCCATCATGGCAATACTAGATGGGGCCAGGTTCTTTTGAAAAGTCCACTTCAGTAAAGATTTCAGGCAAATCCCGATGGAGACGGGATCTAAAGAGAAGACAGCATTTGTGACACCAGATGGATGTTACCAATTTAAGCTGATGCCATTTGGGTTAGTCAATTCAGCAGCAACATTCAACAGCATGATGAGGAAGATGCTGCAGAACACCACCAACATCGAGCACTATGTGGATGACATTCTGACACTCACTGCAAGATGGGAAGACCATCTGAAGAGAGTTAGACAACTATTCCAGTGAGTGAAGGCAGCAGGCCTCACCATCAGGCCATCCAAGTGCTACTTTGGATATTATGTGCTGGAGTTTGTTGGACATAAAGTGGGGGACCGACAGATAGCCATGAAAAATGAAAAGGTAACCCACATACAAGATGCACCAGCTCCAATGACCAAGCAGCAAGTCAGATCCTTCCTAAGGTTAGTGGGATACTATACGAAATTCATCCCAAATTATGCTGAAATTACTGCACCATTGACTGACCTGACCAAAAAAGGCTTACCCAACAAGGTGAAGTTGGAATAACCACACCAGGTGGCATTCAAGAAATTAAAGAACATGTTGGGAAGCTCACCAATTCTTAGAATGCCAAACTTCAACAAACCATTTATTGTTCAGGCTGATGCTTCAGACATTGGAATTGGGGCAGTACTCTTACAGGAACATGAAGATGGACTGTTGCCAATAACATATACAAGTAAAATGCTGTTGAATAGTGGGAAGAACTACTCGGTGATTGAACGAGAGTGTCTGGCAATTATATTTGTCATTCGAAAATCCCAGAACTATCTGTATGGGAAGGAGTTCATTATCCAGACGGACCATTCAACCACTTGCATACATTCAGAGGTGCCAGATCTACAGTGCGAGGATCATGAGGTGGGCATTGTTGGAGCAGACTGTATGGGCAGACTTTGTTTGAACTAAGAACAGTCTTTGTATATATATTGTAAATATTTTATCTTGAAGAGGGGTTTGTGTCATGATATAAAAGACTGTTTGGTTTAAATATTAGTGATTAATTTATATTTGTGAGTGGATATTTATTTATTATTTTTAAGTTTTGGTATAATAAGAGTTAAAAGCAGACGACTAGAAGGTTTTGTTAATAACTAATTGGTGTTGAGAATATAGAAAGTGGCCAGACGACTATGTAATAAAGATATAAATAGCGTGAGACGAGCGGGAAGCAGTAGACAGACAGTATTAGACAGATAAAAGCAAAGAGAATACAGTTGGCGTGAAGTTACGTAACGTAAAAGCGATAAGCCTAACGACTAACATAGGCCTAACGTTTAATATATATATTAGAGTGAAACTAACAGTGGAAAAGGGAATAAGAAAAAATAAGTTTATTCGGTCAAAACAAAATTCTAAAGTAATTGAATCAGCCTGAGTGCACTTTGACAAAAGGAACATAGGACCTTCTGAAAAAAAGTATATTATTTGAAAACAAGTAAAGTGTTTGCTGTTTATTCATTATTTATACTGTAGAAGAATACTAAGCCCAACAACTACATAGTATATATTTATATTATTAAGAAATATAAGTAAAAGCCATTTATTCGACAGTT